TAACGTTTTTGTGCCTTTTTTTTCCTTCCCAATTTTTTCCTTGCTGCCCTCTTCTCTCCACTAATATCCTTTCAGGTACATAAAGTGTTTTGTTTTCTAGAAGGAGGACTTCACTACAATGGATTCCTAAATTCCTGTTTGCTGGTAATTATTCTTAGAAACGGCACCTGTGAAATGTAAATCATCCTGGCCCCAAGTTAACCAGACATCCTTGTTTTGCTGGAATTTGATCCACCTTTTGATAAACTGTCCTTTAGGATAGAGAGAGGTCTTCCAGTGTCCTTGTAGAAACAGCCAAGTGGAGTCACTAGGAGTATAAAGAAACAAAGCTGGTAATTTATAGGCTCGCGGGACTGCAAGGCATCTTGCAGCCTGTCAGTTCAACCTCACAATTCACAATTTATTCTGCTCAAGTGTGTAGCAGCCTTCGAGCGCTAAGCTCTCTACCAGAATCACTCTCTGCATCTAGAATGGATCTGGGAATGCATGAGATGGCAAGTCTCTAGGCCTTGATGTTCTTCTATCTCTTCCTTCTCCTTGCTGTGGAGCGTGGGTTGGTGGCTGTGGGAATGGGAAAGCTGACATTCTTCTACTCTGTTTCCATCAACCTTCAGTTTATGGAAATACAATCACATGACTCAACATAGCCAGGGGCATGGCATGGTTCATTTCTCTCCCAGGAGAGAAGGTCAGAGGTCAGAAGCCTAGGTGCCAGGGCCAGGCAGGTAAAGGGTGGGTGGAGTAGTGGCATATAGGTTGAGGGATCAGTAGGAGTGTGGTGAATGGGAAAACATGCATGATGGTGGCAGGTGGTACTCAGTGGGCCCATTTCAGCCATGTGGGGATGTGGACCTAGCCTTGCCAAATCTTTCCATTTTTCCAGAGAGGCTGAAATCCAAACTTTTAGGAAATTTACGAATTTTTAAAACATCATGTGAACCAACTAAAATATATCTGTGAATCAGATTTGGCCCACAACATGTTCATTTGTTACCTCTGGGGGTTAAAGACTTTTCTGACTTGCCCATTTAGGCCCATCTGACATAATGATAAATTAAAACAAAGCAAAACAAAAACAAACTCAGGAATAACAATGACATGACATCAAGCAAATTGGGAAGGTTTACATGAACCTTTGCGGTAGATGTATAGTTAATTTATATTTTAAAAAAAATTAGGGGCATCTGGATGGCTCAGCTGGTTAAGCATCCAACTTTGGCTCAGGTCATTATCTCAGGGTCCTGGGATGGAGTCCTGCATCAGGCTCCCTGCTCCGCGGGAAGCCTGCTTCTCCTTCCCCCACTCCCCCTGCTTGTGTTCCTGCTCTCTCTCTCTCTGTCAAATAAATAAATAAAATCTTTAAAAAAAAAGATTCATCCATCTTGTATCAGGGGTCAGAACTTCCTTCCTTTTTGAAGCTGAATAAAATCCCATTGTACGTATAGACCACATTTTGCTTATCCATTCATCTGTCGATGGACAATGGGTTACTTCCATGTTTTAGCTTGTGAATAAGGCTGCTTTGAACACAGTTGTACAAGTATGTCTTCCTGACCCTGCTTTCAATTATTTGGGGTATATACCCAGAAGTGGAATTGTTGGATCATATGATAATCCTATTTTTAATTTTTTGAGGAACTACCATACTGTTTTCCACAGCGGCTGCATCATTTTACATTCTCATCAACAGTGCACAAAGGTTCCAATTACTCTACATCTTCACCAACACCTGTTATTTTCTGGGGGTTTTGTTTGTTGGTAGTAACCATCCTGTTGGGTGTGAAGTGGTATCATAATACTTTTGATCTCTCTAATGGCTAGTGATATTGAGCATCTTTTCATACCCTTAATGGCCATTGGTATATCTTCTTTGGAGCAATGTCTATCCAAGACTTTTGCCAATTAAAAAAAAATATATTTTATTTATGTACTAGGGGAGGCACGAGCAGGGGAAGGGGCAGAGGGAGAAGGAGAAGCAGACTCCCTGCTGAGTGTGGAGCCAGACATGGGGCTCGATGCAGGGCTTGATTCCTGGACCCTGAGATCATGACCCGAGCTGAAGTCAGACACCTAACCAACTGAGCCACCGAGGCACCCCAGAAATTTGGCAATTTTTAATTTAAGCGGTTTGTTTTTGTTGTTGTTGTTAACTTTTAGGAATTCTCTATTATATTCTCCATATGAGTCCCTTATAAGTCACACATATGATTTGTAAATATTTTCTCCTATTCTGTGGACTGCCTTTTTATTCTGTTGATGATGTCTTTTGAGGAACAGATTTTTAAATTCTTCATGGTTTATTTCTTTTTTGCCTGGATCTTTTGGTGTCATATAAAAAAAATCATTGCCAAATCCAGTGTTGTGAAGCTTTTGCTCTGTTTTCCCTCTAAGATTTTTATAGTTTTAGATCTATAGTTGATTTACATGTGAATTGCAATGCATAATGTCTGAATGCCCCCTTCCTGGGAGGTTATAAGTCAAATATTGTTGATGCAAGAAGAGATTACTGCATACCATAAACAATCTATAGTAACGTGTGGTATTAAACTATTAATAATTGTAATTCTAAAAGCAATATCTGGTATGGAGGAACCTCAAAAAAATATAAGTACTCTATCATCCAGTAATCCCACTTCTGGGTATATATCCAAAAGAATTGAAAGCAGGGCCTTAAAGAGAGATTTGCACATCCACGTTCATAGCAGCATTATTCACTACAACCAAAAGGTGAGAGAACCCAAATGGCTATTGATGGACAAACAAAATATGGTATATCAATGGTATATATTATGTGGTGCATATAGTGGTATACTAGACTTAACAAGGATGGAAATCCTAAAAAAATGATAATAATAAAAAGGGGCCACCTGGCTGGCTCAGTCAGTAGAGCGTGCGACTCTTGATCTCCTGGTTGTGAGTTCAAGCCCCACATTGGGCGTAGAGCTTACTTTGGGGAAAAAAAAAAAGGAAGGAAATACTGTCACATGCTACAAATGGAAGAACCTAAGGACATTATGCTAAATAAAATAAAGGAAAATCACATACGAATCCACTTACATGAGATAACAAAAGTAGTCAGACTACGCGCTCCTGACTGCCTCAGAGGAGCATTCGACTCTTGATCTCGGGGTTGTGAGTTTGAGCCCCATGTTGAGTGTAGAGAGTATTTAAAAATGAAATCCTAAAAAGTAAGTGAATAAATAAAGTAGTCAAACTAATAGAAAGTAGAATGGTGGTTATCAGGGGCTGGTGGGAAGGAGAAATGAAGAGCTGTTGTTTGATGGGTATAGAGTCTCAGTATTGCATGAAAAGGTTCTGGATACCTGTTGCCCAACACTGTGAATGTCCCTAACACTACTGGACTGGACACTTAAAAATGGTAAATCTTATATTTTTTTTACCACAATTTTTTTGGGGAAAAAGAAGCAATATTGGCAGTAATCAAACACCACAACCAATACGAGACAACTCTGCAGATTCTGCTGGAATTCCAGAGTCTGAAGAGTAGGCTCCCTGGAAAAGCTGTATCCAGGGGTTGCTGGACTGCTTGGAATTCCAAATCCCAGGCCTCAGTCAACTCCACTGACATCCTACTTTTATTTATTTTTATTTTTAAAAGATTTTATTTATTTGAGAGAGAGAGAGAATGAGAGATAGAGAGCACGAGAGGGAAGAGAGTCAGAGGGAGAGCAGACTCCCCGCTGAGAGGGAGACCAATGTGGGACCCGATGTGGGACCTGATCCCGGGACTCGAGGATCACGACCCGAGCCGAACGCAGTCGCTTAACCAACTGAGCCACCCAGGCGCCTGACATCCTACTTTTAATTTATGGACATCAAAGTCTCTCTTAACTCACCTGGTAGGGTCCAGGTAGGAAGTAGTCTTTTAGACCTCAGTTTATTTGTAAAAACTGAAAAAAAGAACTTGCATCTGGGCGGCCCTTGGTGCCCTCCACCACCGCAAACCTTCAGAATCGCCCTGCAGGTGGGTACCTCAGGACAGGCTGTCCTCTGCCACAGACTTCGGAAATTTTTGCAGCAGTCATTCACATTCCTCAGATCAAAGTCCTTTTTCCAGACATGCCTGAGCAGGTGTCCTGCCTGTTCTCAAGCAGAAGGCCTATTCTGGAGTTCCTCTCCAAAGCAAAGAGAAATGGTTGCGGAATGAAGCTGTTCTCTTTTCTTCCTGAGTTGTTTGGGGGCTAAGCAAGTCATTGGTGGGGCTCTGAAAGGTATTCTCCATTTCTCTCACTTTTCTCCCTTTCCGGTTACCTCTAAATCATACTTGCAGGTGTCGTTCCTGCCCCACGGCGCCCAAGGCCGGCAGCCAAGACATGCCCTAATGCGGGGATGCTGAAGGCCGCATCCCTGCCCTCAAGCCCACCTGGCTTAAGCAGGAGGGGTGCGACGCGGAGACGCTGGAGCAAGCCCCGCGACAGGGATATGCGTCAGACCTGAGTGCCCCTTCCTTCCCCCGCTGCCACCCGCTATCCGTGTGACCGCGGCTAGCGGCTCCTCTGTCCTGAGCGCGGTCCCTGTCTACGAAATGGAGCTAGTCCACTTCCGGCCCCTCTCCGCCCCGGGTAGGCCGCGCCCGGCACGCTGGAGAGCCTCCCCGGGGAAAATGCCTGAGTATAAAACCGGGACTGTGCCCCCAGCCCCCGCGCGCGCCCCTCGGGGTCGGGGGCGGACAGCGCGCCGCACGTGACCTCCCCGCCCGCGCGGCCAGCCCGCCGGCATCGGGGCGTGGCCTCGCTGGGCGGCCTCGCAGCGATTGGTCGGGGGGCGGGGCCGGCGGCGCTCGCGCCGGGGGAGGGATGCCCGGGGCGGGGCCCAGTGGGCCGGAGCGGGCTGCGATTGGCCGGGGGTGTGTCGGGGCGTGGCTGCGAGCGGTAGCGAGCGGGTGGGGCCGGAGGCGGCGGGAGTCGCGGCTGCTGTCCGTGCACCTGAGAGCCGACGCCCGGGTCTTCGAAGCTACGCCCGCAGCAGTCCCCGTCGCCATGAGCCGCTTCAAGGTGTCCAAGTTCCGACACACGGAGGCCCGGCCGTCCCGCCGCCAGGTGAGCCCTGCCCGCGGGTCCCCGCGCCCCCGCCCCTCCCCCTCCGCTGAACCCCACGCGGGGACCCCTCGAGCCCGCCTGCCCCGGGGCGCCCCCTTCAGGCCCGGGCCCGGTGTCCCGGCTGCTCCGTCGCACCCGGAGGACAGAATCTGTCGCTCCCTTGCCGGGTCTCTCTCTGGCCGCTCCGTGAGCGGCGCGGTCCGCGGGCTCGCCCGCCTCGCCCCGGGACCCCCGAAGCGGTGCAGCCCGCCCGGCCGGGCCGAGGCTTGAGGCCTGCAAGGCTGCCTGCCTTCTCGGCTTCCGGTCGGCCTCGCCGGAGACCGCGGCTCGGGCTCTGCTGGCACCAGCTCCTCCCTGCCGCCCCGATCGGCCCTGCCCGGGGCTGGGGTGTGGGAGAGATGCCTCTCTCTCCGCTGGCCTTGGCGAGTCCGGGTGTGTCAACTGAAAAGCGGGAGCCCCTCAGACAGAGGCGCGCCCCTCCCTCGGGTTTCCGCCGGCGCTTCCTTCTCTCGCGGCTGGCGCAAGAGCAGCTCTTCTCTTACTGGGGTGATGCTCCCAGGGGCTGGGTGGGGTCTGGGGAGGCCCGAGGAGGTGGAGCCCAGAGGAAGAGATGAGCCAGGTGTTGGGGGGCGCCTCGGAACCCCGAAGGGGCAGCCGGCTTGATGAGGGGTGTGCTTCAGAGATGATGCCAGTCCTGGTCTGTTGCTCCCCATATTATTTGGAAGGCAGGCTTAGGAACTGACTTCTAGTAGCCCCATCAAGAGCAAACGCATAGCAGGATAGCCTGGGGCAGCAGCCCAATTTTCATCCTCTGGACAATATTTCCTCTCTACTTTCGTGTGCTCCTGGAACCACAGTTATGAACACCACAGCACTTTCCTTCCTCTGTACTGCTTACAGTCTTGTGAGGGAGACACACAGCAAGCAGACAGGCCTGCAAGGGCACTGCAAGTTTTAGTAAGTGCCCTGAAGAACACACAGGAAAGGCTGGAATGGAGATGGAGGGGAATGGCCACATGCAGGTTAATCTCCATAGAGTGGTCAGGGAAGGCTGCAGGGAGGAGGTGACATTTAAGCTGAGGTCAGGAAGGTGAGAAGCAGCCAGCTACAAGAAGAGTGGGGTGGGAAAGAGCCTGGTGGAGAAATGAAAAGTGGGCCAGAGTGGATGGAGGGCAGTGATGGGGAAGCAGGGTGTCAGATGAGTCCAGAGCGGTCCTGCAGACCCCAAGGGCCACAGGAAGAAGTTGGGTTTTTTCTGAGTGCAGTGGGGTGCCATTGCACTAAAAGGCTGAAAGCAAAGCAAGGGGTGGAGAGGTGCTCAGATTTGCATTAATACTGTCTTTCTGAGTGCAGTAAGCATTCCTTGAATGGGTCTGGAGTATACTCGATGGGCCTTGGGTCTTGTCGCAGGTGGGCTTTAGTCCAGCAAGGTAAACAGACAGGCATGGGACCAGGGATTACAGAGGGAGCTTTAAAAACAGTTTAGATTAGGGAGATGGGAGGACAGGTGATCTGTTCTCCTTTTCAAAGATATTTCCTGTCACTCTATTTGTACAGTAAACATGAAATAATGCAAGATGATAACATAGGTGAAAATTGAAATAGAAACTTGCATGGAGGAGGCGGTTTCCGGTGCACTGTGGGTGGGTAGGTTGGGAAACAAGGGTGTTCAATTTTTAGGCGGCAGGGCTGAGTGTGACACAGTGCTTTGATACCAACAGAGAAAACGTTTGGACCTTGCTGATCTTAGTTTCAGAAAGAATGCTCCTTTGCTCCTCCGTATGTGGGGGTGTTAACATTATTGCCTTTTCTCAGGGGTACCTTGTTCATCTTTCTGTGAGACTTTGTGGAGGAGAGGCCTTGATTCTTCCCCTTTCTGAGCTTGAGTGTTTTTCTCCTGGGGCTTGCAAGGAGACCCCTGTACTTGGTAGAGGCCATCAGCAGTGCCTTGGAGGAAGTTGAGTCTGTCTTCTGTTTTAGGTACTCACTTCTGCTTTTTCTGCTTCTCTCTCTCCCTTTTAAAAGAAACAACCCCCTGGCCTCTTGACTTCATTTATCCTGGCTTCCCTTCTGACAGTCTTCTCCCCCTTATTAGAGAACCGATTTAATAGACCAAATTACCCCCCTTATGGCTTAGGTTATCATTTCAATAATATTTTGAATATCTGAAGGGAGTGCATGAGTGGGGACAGGGTTAGATCCAAAGGAATGCGTTTCTAATGGAGCAGCCCCTGCTTTAGTTATGAGCAGAGACCTGGCCGTCACAATTCTTATTCTTTATTTTCAGGCCTGGATCAGTGACATTCGAGCAGGAACCACACCCTCATGTGGGAACCATATCAAATCCAGCTGCCACTTGATTGCCTTTAACTCTGACCGTCCAGGTAGGGAGGTGGACATGGATGTGGATGGAGATTCAGACACTGTCACCCTAATTAGGATGGGGCGGAAGGACAGGCTCATTTCAGGCTGGAGGCTTGGGGGCTCCTTGTGGGGCTCAGAGGTCAGCACCATGCAGGGCCTTACACCCCTATAAACTGGTTAATGTGCAGTGATCAGATTGGTTTTGATTAGGGCATGTGTGTACTTTGTATAAACCACAGTGGCTGAGGGTTGTTGTTTTTTTTTTTTAAGATTTTATTTATTTATTTGAGAGAGAGAGAGAGACAGTACAAGTGGGAGGGGCAGAGAGAGAGGGAGGGAGAGAGAGAGAGAATGTGAAGCAGACTACACTGAGCGTGGAGTCCGATGTGGGGCTCGATCCCAGGACACTGAGATCATGACCTGAGCCGAAACCAAGAGCCGGATGCTTGACTGACTGGGCTACCCAGGCGCCCCTGGCTATGGTTTTTAAGAGACTGGCCAGGAGGACAAGGAGAGGACTGTCCTGTTTGTTTTTAGCTGTCCCCATGTGCTACCCACTCCTCATCTGGAGGTCTGGGATTGGCTGGGGTCAATAGGCATACCAAGATTTGAAAAGTTCCTGTGTTAGTTGGGACTTTTTTGGTTGCTAGTGATAACTCAGACCTCAAACTGACTTAAACAAAACTTGGTTACTTCCTTGGCTGGTATAAGTAAGATGTCCAGAGGCTTTAGGCAGAGCTGTATCCAGAGGATCACACATGCCATTGGCCCTGACCTGTGTCCTGTCCTTCGGCTCAGCTGCCCTTGGGTGATGGCTTCTTTCTTAGGTAAAGCTGGGAAAAGTGGCCACTGGTGGCCCAAAGCTGACCTCATATGACCCACAATGCCAGAAAGAGACAACCTCTTTCTCCAGTATTTTCTGTACATCTGATGTCACAGCAGGTTTTTTTGTAGAGTAAGAAAATAATCTTGGACCAATCACTGTGTCCAGAGAGGTATTATTTTATAATTGGTGGAGGCTCTGGGAAGGTCCAAAGCTGAGCTTTTGGGTCTCATGTCCTCTGGGAGCCCTGGGCAGCAAACGGTTCCCATTAGGACTGAAGTCAGAGCCCCCGTGTGTTTGACAGGTGTGCTGGGCATCGTGCCTCTGGAAGGCCAAGGAGAGGACAAGAGACAGGTGACCTACCTTGGCTGCCATTCAGGTGAGTGGGGACTGGACCCAGGAAGTCTAGAACTCGCTCCTCCCTTCATACTCACCTGGTTCCACAGTCCCATGGCTTGCCAGGTTCCTCCTTTTGTCCTCGCTATACTTTTGTACAGCGAAAGATATATTGGAAAGCTGGGTCCTGGTTGAGAATTGCACTTGGGCAGAGAGAGGGGAAGCTGAGTGCTCCAGATCGTCCAACTGAGAGGGGGGGATGTGCCCTGGCCAGCGCCAGGCTCCAGGCTGATGCCGTGGAGTCCACTGTGGAGGACTCAGCCCTATATGGGTTCTTAGCCCCGCGACCTCTCCTGGAGCCCATCAGACCACCCTTCACCACCAGGCCTCCTCCCCAGCCAGGCTGCTCAACGCCCTTCAAGGAGGGGGCTGGCTGGGCTTCAGGGCGGGAGACGGGCCCTCACAAAGAGAGCTTTTGTGTGCTGCAGCTGCTTCTGGGGGCTCCCGGCAGCCCGCCTGGCAGCCCGCCCGTTCCGAGGGAACAGTTCGCGCTCCCTGTCCAGCTGCTGTGGCTGCAGGCCAGCCCCTCGGGCTTGCCTTCCTGGCCGCCTGTTGGGTGGCCTTGGGGGAGGGAAGGGGTCTGACCCTTTATCCCCAGTCTGAGTGTGCAGCTCAGTGTAGGGGTCCAGGTGATGAGAACAGAAGCCAATAGAGTAACAGTGGTGAAGACCATTCAAGAGCTCTTTATGTGCTGAGAACGTTGTCTACACTTTCTCATCTTATTCCTTCTTAAAGCCTTTTACAACTTCATTGAGGCATCATTTATATACCATTAATATGACTTGTTTTGAGTGAGGAATTTGATGACTTTGATGGAAGTGACAGAGTTGGGTATCCAAAACCCAATTTTAGAACATTTCCCCAGAGGATCCTCATGCCCCTTTGTGGTTAATCCATTTCCACCTCCGGCACCGAAGCCTCAGGCACTGGTTGATCTGCTTTCTGCCTCTAATGCCAGGGCCTGCAAGCTACTGTCCCGGCCACATCTGGCCGGCTGCCTGTCTTGGTAAATAGCATTTTCTGGGACACAGCCACGCCTCTTCATTGACATTCGGCCTGTGACTGCTTTCTCCCAGCAACCACAGAGTTGAGGAGGTGTGACAGAGACCATAAGGTCCCCAAGCCCTCAAGTATTTACCGTCTTAGCCTTTTCCAGCAAACGTTTGCCAGCTGCAGCCCGGCCTTTTCTGGATGTTTCGCATAAATGGAATGATACCACACGTAGTCTTTCAAATCTGGCTTCTTTCACTTAGCGTAACATTTGAGATTAATTTTTGTTGTAACAGGTGGAAGGAGTCTGCTTTTTTTATCCACTCGTACACCTTTTTTTTTTTAAAGGTTTTATTTATGTATATGAGACAGAGATAAAAGGAGAGAGAACACGAGATGGGGGAGGGTCAGAGGGAGAAGCAGACTCCCCACTGAGCAGGGAGCCCGATGTGGGGCTCCATCCCGGGACTCCAGGATCATGACCTGAGCCGAAGGCAGTTGCTTAACCAACTGAGCCACCCAGGCGCCCTCTTACACCTTTTTGAAGAAAATTTTTAAATGACCCATTTTTTAGCTAAGAAAACTAAGGCTCACAGAGATTAGGAGCCTACCAACACTGGACTTGGAACCAGGGTCTGTCTGACCCCTGTATTGTTTTTTTGTTTCTTTTGTTTTTTTTAGATTCATTTATTTATTTGAGAGAGAGAGAATGTGTGTGTGCGCGTTCATTGGGAGAGGGGCAAAGGGAGGGAGAATCCTGAAGCGGACTCCCCACTGAGTGTGGAGTCAGACTCAGGGCTCGATCCCAGGACCCAGACATCACGATCTGAGCCAAAACCAAGAGTGGGCCGCTCGACCAACTGAGCCCCTCAGGCACTCCTGGCCCCTGTATTCTTGCTGCATGTTACCCGTGGGGGAGCTGCCCCAGGTTGCTGATATCTGTCAGGTAGTGAGCCCCATTACTGGGGGACCTTTGAGGAGAAGCTGGACCAGGCCTCTTTTGATAAGGTGTAGCTCACTGTGGCCTCAACTATTCACAGCCTTGCCAGAAAGCTGCTCTGGGGGCACCTCTAGTTCCTCAGAACCTGCCTTCGAGGCAGCAGGCACCAGTCTGCCCTCTGAGGTGCCACTGGTGGGGGAGAGTGCAGTGGGCTGGCCTTTGGCTGCTCCCCTGCCTTCGGGGGTGCCTTCTGCCTCCTGGTCAGGGCCAAGTGCCCTTCAGCCCAGCCGCCCAGGAGAGCAGAGAGCTGGGAAGCATTTGAAGAGTGTTCCTGCGGTCTGGGCTGTGGGGTGGCTGGGGACCTGCTCCAAACTGGGAAAGGCAGTGTGGTGCTGTCTGAAGATGTAGGTTCTGAAACCAAACTGACCGCCTGACATCAGTCAGCCTTGCCCCTTCTTAGTTGTGTGGCTCTGAGCAAATTATTTAACCTTTCTCTCCTCATGTCCTTGTCCCCCAGTTGGGGATCATGCCATAGTGCCATCCTGAGGGGTTGTTGTGAAGATTTGGTGAGGTAAATGCACATAAAGGACACGGACCTGCCAGTTCAGCTGGGCACTCAGGTTGGCCACATCACCGCTTCTCATTTCCTCGGGGATGCCAGGTTGGTCATGCTGGCTGCTGCATCTGGCCTGGGCCCTGCCCTGTCAAGTGCGGAGCCCACAGGCAGGGTAGTAGGGGTTCCAGGAGTCCAGACCAGGGCTGTCCCAAGGGGTGCCTGTCTTCATCTGCCCCTTCTCTTTCTCCTTTTTTTTTTTTTTTAATATTTTATTTGTCGGAGAGAAAGAGAGAGAGAGCACAAGCAGGGGGAGCAGCAGAGGGAGAGGGAGAAGCAGGCTTCCCGCAGAGCAGGGAGCCTGATGCAGGGCTCGATCCCAGGACCCTGAGATCATGACCCGAGCCGAAGGCAGCCGCTCAGCCAACTGAGTCACCCAGGTGTCCCTGCCCTTCTCTTTTCTCTTCAGAGTCTGGCTCTGGCCTGAGAGGAAAACATACCTGCTTGATCCCCTGCAGAGGCAGGCAGCAGAAATAGTCACTGCACTCCTTACCCTGGTGATGCAAGCCTGGCCATCATGCTCACAATTCCCTGCCACCTCCCACACTGAGCCCTGGCCTCCTCACTCCCCTGGTGAGGTTCAGGAAGTGTGGGTTTCCTCTCAGGGCTGTGGCTCACTCGGTGTGCCCCTGTCTCCCTCTCCTGGCCTTCCGGAGCTGAGCAGCTCAGGTTCTTGGGTTGTGAAGAACTGAGACCAGCTCCAGCTTGCTTTAGCCAAAAAGGGATTTAGAGGAGAGCTTCCAGAGCTGAAGGCCTGGGGAGTTTCCAAAACCAAAGGAGCAGCTGGACATGCAGGCCTTAGGAGGGTCCTGGCATGGGAGCTGACAGCTCCCTCCCAGCTGGCTGCTCTCCACACAGGCCAGTCCCTGAGGCGCCCTGTCACTAGGCCTTCCAATTCCGGGTATAATTCCCTTAAGAGAGAATCTGGCTGCTCAGCCTGGGGTCAGATACACTCTGGCCACCCCAGCCCACCCCACCCCCCTGGTGGGGACTTGAGGGGCAGAGAACTCCTAGCTTGGGCATGTCACCCAGGCCCCCGCTTCCCTGATGTCTGACCTGTTCTAGTCCTTCATATTCTTCAGGGCTCACCGTGTTTCCTCCATGAAGCTGCCCTGAGCCCTGACCTTAGAGTCCCCGTACTCAGCCTACCTCTTGCTACGGCTGCAGAGATGTGTGTGTGTGTGTGTGTGTGTGTGTGTGTGTGTCTCGCTGTGGAGGTGCTGAGGGTCTGTCAGGGCTGGGTGGTGTCTGTCCACTTTGTGAATCCCTCATGGACCCAGAGCAGGGCTGGCTCTGGGTCCATTCATTCACACGTTTGCAGGCCAGGCCCTGCATTGGGCTCTGGATTTGGGGCACATGCAGGTGCTTGGTGTTTTGAGGAGCTTTCTGCCTGTCATCGTGCTGCTAACCTCCTGATGCCAGGGCCTTGGCGCATCCTGGGGGTTGTGTACCACAGGCGGGGATTTCCAGAGGTGCCTTTCCTCGTGGACTTTCAGCCTGCCACCGTGTGGGCAGAGTTGTCCCATCTCTGAAACCCTGGGCTGTGGTTCCCCACCTTGGGGAGATATCCTATTGGGCTGTAAACAAAGTTCTGGTAAGTTCTCGCCAGGCCTGTGTCAGCCATTGCTCTCCCGCAGACCTGGTCACGGACCTGGACTTCTCTCCCTTTGATGACTTCCTCCTGGCCACGGGCTCAGCTGACAGGACGGTGAGTGGAGCTGCTGGACAAACTGCTCAATGTCCCTCCCAGTTCCCTTCAGGGCCCTCGGCCCCTGCACAGGCCTCCAGAGCCGGGCTAGCCCAGAGTCTCGGTTCCTCGGCCCACACCAGCTCCCTTGTGCTCCTGTGCCCTTGCTGGGAGCCGTGGACCTCGCTTGCTGTTCTGCTGCTGGGCTGCCTGAGGAGTGCAGGGCTGGGGTGGTGGGGGACACTGGAAGAGATGGAGCAGAGCCCCTGACCCATGTCTCCCAGCTCCCCCCACACTCCTGCCTCTAATGACACCCCGTGATCCTGGGCTGGATTGCCCTGTCTTTCCTCACACGGGATACACAGCCCCCATGCCCAAGCACAGCCCCAGGGTTGGGGGCGGCCCTGGGCTCACGGACTTGCTCTTTCCCGTAGGTGAAGCTGTGGCGCCTGCCCGCCCCTGGCCAGGCACTGCCCTCGATGCCCGGGCTGGTGCTGGGCCCAGAGCCTGTCCAGGTAGAGGTGCTGCAGTTCCATCCCGCTGCGGATGGCGTCCTGGCGAGTGCAGCGGGCATGGCCGTGAAAGTCTGGGATGTAGCCAAGCAGCAGGCCCTCACAGGTACCCCTGCCCAGCAGCCCCTGTCTGGACGGCACTCCGTCGCTCTAGGTGTTTGGTACCGTGAATTTTAGAGTATGTGTGTCCGTGGGAGGAAAGGTTGTGAGAGTCTAGCAGACGTATCACAAATGCTCCATCCCACTTCCTGTAGGCATCTGTTTTCATCTCGTGAACTTGTTTTTCCTCCGTATGCCTAAGTACCTTCCTTCTACTGGTATTGCTTGAGTGGTGTGTCACTTTGGTTTTGAAAACAAACTTCTGGCTGCTTTTCTGCCTGACGGGGATTCTGCCGCCTTGAAGCCCCTTCCCCCAGGCTTCTGTTCTTGCTTTCGCGGCTGAGCCTGTCTTCATGCCTTCCAAGACTGGTGGCTGCTCTAAGCCACCCCCACAGCCGGGGGGCCTTACAAACAACGGAAATTCATTGCTCATGGTTCTGGAGCCTGGACATTCAAGGTCAGGGTGCCGGCCGACTCGGTGTGGTGAGAACCTGCTTCCTGGGTCACCGATGGCCATCCTGCTGTGTATCCTCACAGCGGAAGGGACAAAGGGGTGCTCAGGGCCTCTTACCAGGTCACTGATCCGGTTCAGGAGGCTCCACCCTCGTGACCCAGTCACCTCTCAGAGGCCCTGCCTCCAGATACCGTCACAGCGGGAGTCAGGCTTCAGCATGTGGGGAGACACAATCAGACCAACATAGATGATGACAGCTTTGGGTCAGATTCCTCAGTGAATGGTTATGACCCTGTGACCCATGCGGATGCCTGGTATTCTCTGGTGACGCCACAGTGTCATTTCTGCCGAGGCCCTGACACGCTCATCCCCTTTTTAGGGCAAAGACACAGGCTCCGAGAGTTAAAGGACGGCCTTGCCTTCTAGGGCTGTGTGGAGTGTCCAGGGTAGGCCAGGCTCACCGAGGTGAGGTCCCCACCTCGGGCTGGGATAGAGAGACGACCCGAGGGCCATCGGTAGTGTGAACTGCCCAGCTCCTGGTACCATCCAGGAGACCGGCCTGACCTCTGAAGCAGAGGGGACCAGGTAGTCTGTCATCGGGGGGTCACTCAGCTGTAACTGCTGTGTCTCAAGCCCTCGCAGGCCTGGTGCTGTGCTGAGGGCTTCCTGCCAACTCGGCACAGTGGTGCCACCGGGCAGCGCTGCCATTCCCATGTCACAGATGAGGTTAAACAACGGGCCCAAGGCCAAGGAGCAGGTGGGCAGCAGGGCTGGGGTTAATCCCAGGGCAGGAAGCCTGGGCAAAGTGGTTATCTGCTGCTGCAGAACAGATTATCACAGAATGTAGAGGCTTAAAATACTTATGAACATTTATTTATTTTTTTTAAAGATTTATTTTATTTTATTTATTTGAGAGAGACAGAATGAGAGATAGAGAGCACGAGAGGGAAGAGGGTCAGAGGGAGAAGCAGACTCCCTGCCGAGCAGGGAGCCCGATGCGGGACTCGATCCCGGGACTCCAGGATCATGACCTGAGCCGAAGGCAGTCGCCTAACCAACTGAGCCACCCAGGTGCCCCTTATGAACATTTATTATCTCACAGTTTCTGAGGGTCAGAGATTTGGGAGCTGTTCAGCTGGGTGGTTCATGCTCAGGGTCTCTTAAGAGGTTGCAGTGAAGACGTTGGCTTCCTCATCAGAAGACTTGATTGGGGCAGGAGGCTCGGCTTCTCAGAGGGTTCACGGATACATTGCTGGCTATGAGCAGGACACCTCAGTCCCCACCACGGGTCCTCTCCCTGGGCTGTGTGAGCACCCCTGCAGCATGATGGCTGGCTGCCTCTGGTGGACCATCCATGGGGGACGGAGCAGGGAGGAAGCGGCAGTGCCTTGCGTGGCCCAGCTTTGGAAGTCACATGCCTCCACTTACACCAGACTCTCTTCGTTAGAAGTGAGTTACTAAGTCCTGCTCACACTCAAGACGAAGGGAATTAGGCTTCACGTTTTGAAGGGAGGGTGTGTTAGATCACTAGGGCTGCTGTAATGAAGGACCACAACCCGGATGACTTCAAATAACAGAAACTTCCTGTCGCATAGTCTGGAGAACAGAAGTCTGAAACCCAGGGGTCGGGGCAGGGCTGGTGCCTTCCAAGGGCAACGAGGGCGAGTCTGTCGCAGGCACCACGGGCGCCCCTCGGCTTGTACGTGGTGTCTTCTCCAAGTCTTTGCATCGTCTTCCCTCTGTGCACATCTGACTCTATGTCCAAATTTCCCTTTTCACGAGGACCAGTCCTACCGGACTAGGACCTACCCTAATGATATCAGCTTAAGTTATCTTCCACAAAGACCCTGTTTCCAAAGAAAAGTACAACACAGGTGCTGATGGTTAGGACGTCAGCATTTTTTTTTTAAGTTTGTTTATTTTATCTTTTTTAAGATTTTACTTATTTATTTGACAGAGAGACACAACGAGAGAGGGAACCCAAATGGGGAGTGGGAGAGGGAGAAGCAGGCTTCCCGCGGAGCAGGGAGCCCAATGCGGGGCTCGATCCCAGAACCCTGGGATCATGACCTGAGCTGAAGGCAGATGCTTAACGACTGAGTCACCCAGGCACCCCTATTTGTTTATTTTTAAGTAATTTCTCTACCCAGTGTGGGGCTCGAACTCCCTACCCTGAGACCAAGAAGTCGCATGCGCTTCCGACATTGCCAGCCAGGCGTCCTAGCATCTTTTTGTGGGGAGACGATTCAACCTATAATAGGACGAGCATCACATAATTTGTGGACATACTTGAAAACTGTCACACTGGGGGAGGAGCAGGGATGGCCCAAGCAGAGACCCAGGGTGGGAATGTGTGTGGCTTGGCCATGGGCTGGTGTGACTCAGTTGGGGTGTGTTGGTGAGTGACTGGAAGTAAGCCTGGGTAGGACGTGAAAGCCAGGCTGAGCAAGGATCAGGGAGGCTCAGAAGGTTTTTGAGTAGAAGCGTGGCCTGATGCAGGCAAGGCTGAAGGAAGAAGTCCAGGCGCAGAGCAGTGGGTTTGGAAGGAGGCACTGCCCTTTCTACTCCTACTGGAGAGAAACCCTTGCAAGCTGCTGCCTCTGCCCTGGGCATGACCCCAAGCTAGGTCCTCTTGTGCCCACTTCACTGGTGCCCCCATTGCCCAGGACAGGGTGGGGAGACCCTGGGCCCCCTCCTGACCTTGGCTGCTTCTCTACAGAGCTGGTGGCCCATGGGGACCTGGTGCAGGGTGCTGTCTGGAGCCGGGATGGAGCCCTGGTGGGCACGATGTGCAAGGTAAGCAGCTGGACCGTGAGTCTTGGGGAAGTGCCTGCGGTGGGGACTGAGGCGTGCCCGGCTCTGTGCCGGGATATCATGTTGAGGAGCGCATGTCCTGGGCTGTACCTGGCGGGCTTGATGAGATTTATGGGGCAGAAAAGCACTCAGGTCAGGGGCATTTGTGAATCCCTTCACCTCAGCTGCCCTCACACTTTCTGCTTCACACCTGCATCTGGAAACCCCCACACCCCTTCGGTACCAGGGCCTGGGTTCCCTCTCAGATAGGGGCTCAAGTTAAGCCCCATGCTAGCTTCCCCCCCACGGCCCTGTTTTGTGTATTGGACTCCCCTCCATCCTCAGCCAGCCTCACCTGGCTGCTGTATGCTTTGTCCACACTACTATCCTTTCCAGAACGTCGTGTGGAGCAGCATCCATACACAGGGCTTTGTGCTGCCCCACACACCCAGTCAGCAGGCCTCGGGGTCCTCACTGATGCCAGGCCCTGTGCCCACCTGGTCCCCTGCTGGCGAGAGTAGCCGACATGGGCCAAGGCATCTTACAGATGAGAAGATCAGTGTGAGCCATGACACGGGCTCTGAGAGAGGGACATGAGGAGCTCTGAGCTGGTTGAGAGGCCAGGAGGCTTGGCCTCAGGCAGGGCCCCCAAAGGGAGAGTTACTGGGGTTGGGTGGGGAGAGCTGGGCAGTGTAGCGACAGGTGCCGGCCTAGAAGGGGCTGGGTGCAGAGAGCAGTGGGCAAGGCTGGAGTGGTGTGCCCAGGGTTACGCTTATTACCATAGAAGCAGCAGGAGACCCTGGAGCGTTTAAAGCCAGAGGGGGCCATGGCATGAGGTGAGCAGATTTGTATTTTGAAAGCTCTCCAGTTGCAGTGTGGACAGAACAATGCAGGGATGGGCGGTATCTAAAAGGGAGGGCAGGACGCCTCCTGGGGGTAGTAGAGTGGGCCTGAAGGAAGGGTCAGAACCTGTGCGGGAGACGGAAGGAGCCATCCTGTGGCAGGAAGGAAGCCAAGACAGGGCTGGCGGTCTATGCCCTGAGGGCCAGGGCGACAGGATCCCCGAGGGAGGTGGCTGGGGACACCAGGAAGAGTCAGCTGAGGGGTGAATAGTGCTTATCTGTTGGATTGGGGAGATGGGTGAGCTTCGGGACTTCTGGGGACGTGCTGCGTCCTAGAGCCACACACGCAGTATAGAAGGACATGGGAGTCTGCGAGGGCTCCTCTGGGGGCTCGCTGCAGGGGCGGGGTGTCAGGGGTTTCTCTGAGGGAGAAAATATGGGGTCTGCATACTTGGGGGATCCTGTTTCCAAATTTCTCTGCCTTCTTAGAAGCCCCATTTCCCAGGGTTTTTTTTTTAAGATTTTATTTATTTATGAGAGAGAGAGAGAGAATGAGAGAGAGAGAGCATGAGGGGGGGAGAGTCAGAGGGAGAATTGAGCCTGATGTGGGACTCGATCCCGGAACTCCAGGATCATGACCTGAGCCGAAGGCAGTCGCTTAACCAACTGAGCCACCCAGACGCCCTCCCAGGGTCTTTTCTAAGATTTACTTATTTTAGAGAGCGAGTGTGCATGAGCAGGGGGAGGGGCAGAGGGAGAGGGAGAATGTCAAGCAGGCTCCCCACTGAGCTTGGAGCCCTATACAGGGCTCAGTGTCGGGACCCTGAGATCATGCCCTGAGCTGAAATCAAGAGTCGGATGCTCAACCGACTGAGCCACCCAGGCGCCCCCCGACCCAGTTTTCTAAATCAGCTTTTTCCCCGTTTGGTTCATCCGACAGTAGGTTCTAGACATTGGCCTGTGCTCCAGGGTCGATGGGGCTGCCAGCCCCCAAGGAGTCCCTGCTGGAAGGCGGGGTGGTCACACAGCATGGTGTGGTTTGCTTGCTCAGGCTCCACGTGGACGAGCACGGCTTCCCAGGGACAGTGAGGTTGGGCCTGCCCTCACTGAGGAGGAGGGGAGAGACGTTCCAGGCAGCTGGACAGGGTTCTGGGCTATGACCTCTCCCTCCAATGAGAAGCCCTCTCTGCCCTGCATTTCCATGCCCTTTGCTTGTGTGTGAGAGGTGCACCGAAGGAGACCTAGAGGGAGGGACAGAGATGCTCTCGGGAAATTCTTACTTTATGGTGACCAAAGTACAGTCGTTTATGCTGGGGACCAAAGTACAGTCGTTTGTGCTTGTTTTACTAATTTGGGTGAGCAGGGGAAAACTAAAGAAAAAACATCACCTGCGATCCTCCCACCCAGGGACAACACCAGTCACCATTTTGACATCTTTCTGTCTCAGCTTTTCCGAGGCATCTCTTTCTGTATGTGTGGAGATCGTGTTCTCCAGGTTACTCTACCCTGCATTCTGTTCTGCATAATAAATATGTTCTCCAGTTCATCAGTAACTAAACAACCATCATACAAAATATCGTATTGGTTTACCAATTTACTGTTTTTATAAGTTGTAACATCTGAATATATTTGTATATAGATTTTGTTTCTTGGGGCACCTGAGTGGCTCAGTCGGTTAAGCGTCTGCCTTCGGCTCAGGTCATGATCTCAGGGTCCTGGGATCGAGCTCCTCATTGGGCTCCCTGCTCAGTGGGAGCCTGCTTCTCCCTCTCTCTGTGCCACTCCCCTGCTCTTTCTCTCTCTGTCAGATAAATAAATAAAATCTTTTTAAAAAATATTTATTTGAGAGCTAGAGAGAGGGAGCAAGCACGAGCAGTGGGGAGGGAGAGAGGGAGAAGCAGGTGCCCTGCTGAGCAGGGAGCCCAATGTGGGGCTCGATCCCAGGACCCTGAGATCATGACCTGAGCCGAAGGCAGATGCTTAACCTAAGACTGAGCCACCCAGGTGCCCCAAATAAATAAAATCTTTAAAAAAAAATTGTTTTTGTGTTTTGTTTTGTTTTGCCTTTTGTTTTTTGGTTTTTGTTTTCAACGTGACTTAGCTTAGAGCACGGGCTGGTAAACTTCCGTGCAGGACCAAACAGTAAGTACTTTGGGTTTTGCTGGCCACGCTGTATCTGTCGGCACCACCACCTTGTAACAAAGAAGCAGCCACAGACAAAATGTCAGTGGGTGGGTGTGTGCACGTTGCAGTAAAACTATTTGCTGAATCAGGCCTGGGGTTGGATTTGGCTGATTTGGCCTGTGGGCATTAGCTTGCCCACCCCTGATCTAGATTTTTATCAGGGATATTGCTAGCTTCTAGGCTATGAAGATTGGTAAGGTGGTTGATAGATTTTAGCCAGCTGTCTTCCAGAGGAGTAAAGCCAGCTCTCATGGAGGCTGTGCTTTACAGGCTGGACTTTGGGAGGAGACTTGTGTGTCTGTAGGTGAGCAGACCAGCGCTCTGAGCCTGCGCTCCTCACTTGAAAAATGGGGGCGGCAGGAGTACTGGTTCTGCAGGTGAAAGGCTGGCCACTGGGGCAGGGCCCGGGCTCTGGGCTGCCTGCCCTTCTCTGGCCTGACAGCCCCAGTAGGACCTGAAGGGATCAGATCTGCAGCTACATGATAGCTGGGCAGCTGTGATGGGGGGTGGCAGGAAGGCGCTGTGGTATCCCCAGTGGCAGAGCCACCCTGGGCCGAGGAGGGCAGCATCCTCACAGGAGGGGTAGGTGTGGTCTCCTCCTGTATGAATGTTTTGAGCAGGGACTGGCTGTAGCGGCCCTTGCACAGAGCAGCCTGCCTGGACCATGGCCCTGGAGAGGGAGGAAGGAAGCCAGCTGCGGGGCTCAGGGCAAGCGGGGGCCACCTCTGTTAGAGCTCTCTGGCTGCCAGGCCAGACTGCTGCCTGTGAGGGGGGTCCCGCCAGTTGTGTACCTCTGGCCTGCGGGTATGACCTGGAAGGCCCTTCACCTAATAGCTGCGGCCCCCGAGGCCAGTGTAGGCTGTGGCCAGGAGAGGTGGCTCCTCTGGGTCTTACATCCTCTATCCCGGGCCCCCCACCCCAGCCCCAGGCAGGATGTCTGAGGGTCAGGTGTCTAGAGGCTTGACATGGATCACTGCCCGTGGAGCACTCAGAGAGGCACCTTCCTTCCACAGAGTTCACAGCTCAGCATGGTTGATTCTGTTTTTGCCGAGGCTACAAAGCGATGGATTAGGATGCAGGGATGTCTTCCAGGGTTTCTGCAGCCTGGTGAGGAGTTGCAGGCAGCTGCAGGCAAAGGGAGGTGGGGTGGGCTGAGGGCACGTACAAGGCCAAGCGAGAGCAGTGGGTGTGGTGTGGGGGGCACAGCGTGGGGGGTGGCACTGTGGGGGTGAGACAGGAGGGGACGTGGGGAGACTGTGAGGAGTGTTGCAGCCCCAGGAGAGGGGGCGGTGCGGGTTCCAAGCCTTGGTGACCGGCAGGAGGACCTAGAGCATGGGGAAGAGGTGTCAGGTTTGGGGATTTCATGCACAGGGTTTACTGCGGAATTGTGCAGGAGCTGTCCAGCCCCTCCTCCCCAGGGATCTGAGCCCCATTTACCACCTAGTTTGGTTGGTGGGGTGGGGGCTGAAGAGCGACCCAGTTGCAGAGTGCCCCATTGTGTCCTGCCCCCTCCTGTTGGTATGATGACTCAGCTTCTGGCCTGCCAATGTCCCCTGAGGAAGGGTGAGTGTGATGAGGCCACAGCTCAAGCCAGTGGAACTCCCTGTCCCCTCTAGACCCAGAGAACCTAAAGTTGTAGGGAGGAAAAATGCAGATTTCCTGAGTGGGTCGCTGGAGTAGAGCCCTCCCCCCTGCCCTGCTATTCCTGGACCTAGGTGCTCCACCTGTGGGGACACAGCACCTTACAATGCTGTTGTCTGGATGCAGTGTCCTGGAAGGCACGCAGTCCCAGCAGCGTGTGACCTCCACTCCCATGACCCGTCAGCACCGTCTCTGGGGACACCACAGTCCTGTGTTCACAGCCACCCTCTTCTATAAAGGGGGGATCCTCAGGATCCTGGGTGGGTGTGTCATATGCCAAAACCTTTGGGGAATGTGCAGAAGGGGAGGCCACCCCCATGACTGAAGGTCAGGAGA